AATGGATTTTCATAACATGTAAAGCAAATAGATTTTCATAACATGTAAAGCACATCTCCCTTGTGGGAAGCTACTAGAGCTTTCCTTACATCGTAGCCTGGAACCTCCCTGGAAGGAAATATGTGTCCCCTTTTGTTTATTAAAACACATGGCAGAAAGTGGAAACATCTGCTTGTTGGTGTACCTGCTTGCCTCGGCAAGTTGCAAAATTCTAAGGAGCCAACAAATATTTATTGGAAATTGCACAACTGTTGAGCACAAAATGTGTGATACAGTTGGGTATGTACATAAACTGGTTTTCTACAATGACTGCATCCAGAAAGAAAGAAATATGGTTGATATGTTGCCATTAGGTACATGTAACGGGAAATAGCATTTTCACTCTGAGAGAGAGTAAGCAGGGAAGGACAATAAATCATTCTGAGAATATCAATCTAGAGAAGAAAGAGATAGATTAGGTAAAGCATAGGAGACACTTCTGATAATCCTAGCTATCTGTCTCTACCTACATTGTCACACTGTAGGCACAGTCCTGTGTCCTACACTTCTGAAACAAAATACTTCATCTTGCTGTTATCTGAAATGGATAACAGTTCCACAAATATGGACTTCACTTATGAGAAATGACTGGAGCATTGTATATGTTATGCCTGAAAAGGCACCACATCCCATCTAATCCTGGAAGCTACACAGGATCAGTTCAGCTTAACGCTTGGACTGGAAATAGTGAACAAATACCAGGTGCTGTAGGCTCTATTTCAGAGGAAGGAACTGACAAAAACACCTCTAAATATTTCTTTCCTGAGAATACTCCATAAAACTCATGGGATTGCTATAAATTGAAAGGCAACTTGAAGGCATATGCACACACATGCAGATCAGACCATTCATTGTTCATTTTTATTTCTACTCTTAGTAGTTGTCCCTCCCTCCATTTTGATGGGCCAATCAAATCTGGTCACAAGCACTTAGATGTCCAATGATAAAAGTGGACCCAAAAATACTTGCAAACTACACATCTTTGGGGACAGGTAGTTTACTTAATTCCTGAATACAGGGACCACATAATTTCCTTATCATTGGTGTTCAGTTTCAGAATATTGGCCTTCTTCCAGCCCATTCCAGCATCCAAGTAGTGTGCCAGCACATTCACCATGCCACCTGACTCCAGTGAAAGGAGAACTGTCATCAGCATACTGATGGCACCCAAATCCTACACTCCTAAAGACCTTCCCCAGGAGTAGTGTATATAAACAAATATCTTATAAAGCTGTTTTAAAGGATTATTGAGATAGTACATATAGTGTGTCTTTAACACCCAGAGTGGAGAACTTTCCCTTGCAGAGCACTGATTAGGAGAGAAGAAGGAAGCTAACTGAGTAAATATATCAACTCCCTAGGAAGCCTTTGTAAGTTGCAGCAACAAATCAATGAAGGCTTGAAAATTCTAACAAATTTGGGTTGTAGAGGAGCTGAAAATTTGCACCCAGCACTTGACCAGAGCTGAATCAGCCCAAAACTGGAAAACGTATACTTTTGTCTCCTGCCTGAAGATGGCTCGTAACAAAATGAAGACTCAAGGCAACTCTCAGACCCTGAGATCTGGCAACTATACTTAGAATTGAGTGTTAGTGTTGACAAGATAGAGAGATCCTGACTTATGTGTAAATCAGGACAGTATTCTATGTCAGAACTTGAGAAAAATTACTTTTGGTACCACAGTTCCCAAAATTCCCCCATTAGCATGGCCAGGCTAATGGGGATATTATGAGAGTTGTGGTACAAAAAGTCACTGTCCTAGGCGATGTGTTTATTATCTCAGATTTGATCAAAGGAAAACAACATGTGGTTTACATTGTGAAAAGCCTCCCTCAGGAGTACAGTATATAATAGGGCATATCTAGTACAACCAGACTTTTCTTTATGGAATCTATCTATTCTTATAGGGCATTTCTTTTAAAAAAATTGAACTCATGGTATTGACAATTTTCAGTCTCTTTGGTATAAATGGCTCACATGTGCACCACATGGATACTGTGTAGTTTAATAACGTCGTCTACCACTGTTTCATTTGATAATAGCATATAGGGATGCTTATGACTTCAAAGTTAGTATGGCTTCACCACATGATGGGGCATTCACCACATTTTGAAAAAAAGAAACTTCGAAGAGATTTTTAAAAATCCTAATTTTTAGGAAAGCAAAGGAACTCCTTGGGAATCTTGAAGATACTAGCATGAAATATGGTTCATTCGCTTAACTTCATTTTTCTATTAGTGAAGTTGGAAATGGGCATACTACAACTTCATGATACATTTTTGCTAAAGCTTTGAAAAGTGCAATAAAAATTAGCAGCAGTTTAAAGAATTAAGAACATTTTATTTTTCTCTCCAAATTACCAAGCTTATCAGGGATGGTTAAACCACCCAGACTGAAACGCTTTAACCAGAACTGTCCCACTGAGCTCATTCTAGTCATCGTCCTAGTGTTTATAATATTTTCTTTATTTTTGATACTAAATCCTGCAGTGAATAGTAATTTTCAGCTCTAGGGATTAATTGCATACACTTGGAATTTAATGACTGAGGGTTAAAGCTTCACTCAAGCTATAACAAAAAAAAGTAGGGTAGATATTAAAATAATAATGAAAAACATCCATCCCTCCAAATTATATGAAATCCTCATCAATAAATCTCTAGAACACAAGTTTCTTGGTTGACTATATTAAAAATGAATTACAAGAACTCAGCTTGTACCCAGCAGTATTTTTCTCCAGATTAGTTGATGACAGTTTTAAAAATCAGTTGGCAGCTTTAGGCTAGTACATAAAGAACTGAGTTCTTGGCTGACATAAAGTTTCTCAGTAGTTTTGTGCTACTATTAATTGTGTTCTGTGGTTTTCTCTGGGAATAAGGCTGTGTAAATATGATAGCTTTTCAGACTTGATGCGATACAACTATTATTTATCACTGTACACAGCTCGAAGATGGGACAAAAGAAAACATGAAAGAAGTTTGTTTTAACTAGAGCTCATACCGGAACAGATAAACATCAGTGTTAATGATACCTTTTTGTTTCCTCTTCAAGCTTCTGTTCTAACAACCAAGGCATCTTGGTGTTCTTGCTGTTTCTGTTCCATAGTTTTCATTGTCATCCCTACCTCCTCTTCCTCCTCCTCCTTCTTATGCATGTCTCATTAATACAAATGGTTCAATAGTTTACAACATAAAAAACAATAAAACAATGAGAGAAAACACAATACAGAAAGATCAAATTTTCAATATTTTCATAACGCATGCTATTGCTATAATTTAGATGAGACTGGCAGAGACTGGCAGAACTTATCTCCAGCCCCATTTTCCTTCAATCTCAGGACAACCAATAACTTCAGCACGAAAACACATTTCCTCAGCCAATGTATGGCTAAGAGAAGATAAAGATAGTGAGGCACCATATGCCTGAAGTTTGCAGTTGGGAGAAAAGATGTCACCCTCCCACATCTGCAGCAAGTAAATATGAATACACTGGAGCTTCAGGAGAATTTTTTCTATTTATCTAAATGTAAACTTGCAGCCAGATGCTGCCTAGATCATCTTACTGCTCTTTCACTGGACACATAACAACTATGCAAGAATACGGTAATATTGAAAAAGTCAGAGCTGCTGGGAAGAGTCATTGTATAAGTGGGTACTAAATCACTCCTTGTACAATGAACCTAAGTAAAGAAACACTTGCATTATTGTTTCATATTATACAAGCATATCTGTATCCAACATGACTCTTGCCAATGGCGGCAATTTAGCACATCGGCTGTTATCCTTTCCCAATAATGATTGATCAGAAATATTTTTTATGCCTTGCATGGCAAGTAGTGTTTTCTACTGTTCTGACTGGCAGCTTGGTAGCATAAGATCATATATCAGATAGGGATGAAACAGTATCCATTGACAGGCCAGGCTCTGATGTCAGTATTTTAAATAAACCATTTGAAAGTATTTTCTCATTATAATTATTAACTTCTTTTTAATAAGGTCTAGGACTCAGGTGGGAGAAATTAGAAAGAGGATAAGTTGTTAGATACTTTGGGTTTTATAAAATGCCAGCACATATAGACCAAATTTAATTAAAATTACGTCAAGAGTGGTCGTGTTTATATATAGAGGTGGGGGGAGTTTTCAGGTCATTGGGATGATCCATCCCCAGTGGCATTCTTCAGTCAATGTTCTGACAGTGGGGGAAGGTAGCAGGCAGTTATCAAACTGACACAAAAATAGGATCAATTTGAGGGTAGTCATTCTGACAGATAACTAAATCATTGAAAGATAATGATATGGAAATGGAAGAAAATGTATGCTACAATCCTGTAAAATGTGCATATCTCTATTTAGCTATCCACATCTGAGAAAGTAGACTTAGGGCACACCTAGACCAGGCATGGGCAAACTTTGGCCCTCCAGGTGTTTTGGACTTCAACTCCCACAATTCCTAACAGCCTGTAGGAATGTGGGAGTTGAAGTCCAAAACACCTGGAGGGGCCAAAGTTTGCCCATGCTTGACCAAGATTGTAAAATGAATGCAGTTTGCCACTTTTCACATAGAACCATTTTAAGTGCCATGGCTCAATGCTGTGGACTCATGGGAGGTGTATTTTGGTGAGATATCAGCATTCTGCAGTACAGAAGGGTTAAAACCTTGTACAATAATCACTCCCAGAAATCCATAGAATTGAGCCATGGCAGTTAATGTCAAACTGTATTAATTCCATTCTAGTTCAAGCTACTGAGTCAGACTTTTGCTACCAGGCAAATGGGTTTGGAAGTTTTTGTTAGCATTGTGGCCAAATATTAACAGCTGCCCGAAATGGGTTAGTTTGTATTTAGTGACTGTTAGATTTTATTTTCTTTAGCTTGGCAGTCAGAGTGGGGCAAAGATATGGATGCCAAAACCCAAGTGATTTCTAGAAGGATGAAAGTGTTATTCTTTACTTATGCAATGCCTACCTGATCTGATTGTTTCATTTCACTTGTGCATATTGTTAATTTTGAATAAACGATTTGCTGAGAACTGCTTTTCTTTTTTGTGGTGTAGGAGTCTGTCTCTATTCTTTCCTTGTTATTTCTGCCTCTGGTACCGAATTATCTGTTAAGGAAAAAATGCTCAAAAACACATCATCTTAATTAATTGAGGTATATCTGTACTCTTCACTCTCCTTATACTGGCTCTACCCAGAGGCATATCTCAATCTCCCTCTGTTTCTCTCTCCCTCCCTCCCATACTACTACATTAAGACTGAATGAAATCATAATTCATTTTTGTTTTCTGGATTTAAAGTTAAACAAAACAAATAAAAGTAAATACTGATTTACCATCGTGTTCGGGTTTTCACCTTTTTGCTTTGAATCCATGAGACAGCAAGGTGTAGTGGTTTGAACATTGGACTATGACTTTGGAGATCAAGGTTCAATTTTGTACTCAATCATAACCCCTACTGGGTGGTTTTTGGTAAGTCACTCTCAGCCCAGAAATACATCATCCTTCAGATCAGTATAAATCAGAAACTACTTTAAGGCACACTGCAACTTACAACCATGGGTGGTAGCTCTTTACATACTGCTATCCCTTATGATGATAATAGAAGGCTAAATCCAATATGAGTCCTCACTAGGATACAATTTCTGAAATTAATGACACCTAAGTTGGGTGTGAAAAGCACCTGTTCATTGGACTGAACCCAGAATACTTTTGTGATAGACTAAGAACAGTAATCTTCCTACACATTTGCCTTTTGAAATATTGGAAATTACATCTGAAAAGTATTATTTTGGATTCAATAATAAATGTCTAATAAAAGCAGTTGCTATGGGAAGTACTACAACACTTAAAACATAATTGGAAATGGTTATGGTTTTGAATTAAGAAGATTTTTTTTGTACAAAAAGGTATTATATATTATGATAGACATATTAATGACATCAGTAGCACTGGCCAACATGACTTGGCAGTGAATCACTGTATTTCTTTCAGTGGATGCATGTAATAGAGCTCTATGCTATATTTACATGCCATAAGCATTATTGAGAAATATATTTTTAAGATTTAATTACCTATAAGATGTATTTTACATTTTTAACCAATTGTACACTACTCAGTAATCAGCTTTGTATTTAAGACTACTATTGCAGTAAGGTTAGTGCAGCTAAAGTGTATTTAACTGAGCAGGAAGCCATATTTATTCTTTTCATGAATGAAATACTTTTCTGGAAAAAATAAGAATAAGCAGAAACTGGCTGGCATTCTGTTAGTGGTATATACAGACATAATATATCTAGTTTTGGTCTATGTAGAAGTTTGTATTCCTTTACACTCAGGCATGTAGCCGGGGGGGGGGGGGGGGGGCTTGAGGGGCTTCAGCCCCCCCCCCCCGTAATTCTCATGGTGGTTCACGAAAAGGCGTTACTGGTGCATTATTTAAACTGTTATGTTTATTTATATCATGATCTGATCACCATACTCAATATATCCCATATGCATGGGGGTATTGGGGTAATGATACAAAAGGTTTGCTAGGCTAGACCCTCTTTCACTCAGACTCACCCCCCCCCGAAACTCAGCCCCCCCGAAACCCCCCCCCCCGGAAAAAATCCCCCCCCCCGAAATGAAATCCTGGCTACGGGCCTGTTTACACTGACCAAACCTTTCCTAGACCTAATGTAGAGATGTCACCTTTTTGTACAAGAGAAATGGAAAGGGATATCCAAACATTCATTTTTAGGCAGGAATATGTCTTACAAGAACCCTGGATCCTTCAGTACTCAGCTTTGCTATTAAACATTATAAAATTATATTTAGTTGCTGTAGTTTTTTTTATATGAGATTTTATAGCTGGATGAATATAAGCACTACTAAATGAGTGGGAGGATTTCAACTAGATAACAATACAACTAGATTTCATACAACTAGATTTCAACAGAAAGATTTTCCCCAAGGAATTAGGATTAGAAAAGCTTCCCCAAGAGAAAATTACTCCCAAGGAATCTAATAATTATATGACTTCAACAAAGACTGTTTGTTAAAATGCATGTATGCCAATATTCCATGACTGCATTTGTGCTTGAACACATTGTTATGTGCATTTATGTGTTTTATGTGTAACTTTTGTACAATTGAGATCCAGTATTGTGTAGGCTTGAGCACTGGACTATAACCCTGGACACCAGGTTTAAATCCCTGATCAGCCATGGAAACCCTCTGATTGACCTTGGAAAAGGCAAAGCATGCTCTCTGAGCCTCAGAGGATGGCAATGGAAAATTGCACCTGAACAAAGCTTGACAAGAAAGGTTTGCTGTAAGTTGGGAATGACTTGAAGACAACAACAATCTTTTAAATTTGTGGGCATTTATGGCATTTAGACCAGTAGAGGATAAGCTGAAATCAATAAGGCTTTTGAATATCATCATCATCATCTTTATTTATACCCTGCTGCCATCTCCCCAAAGGGGACTCGGGGCAGCTAACATAAGGCTAAGCCCAAAATACAATACAGCAAAATAGAATGCAGACAACAAAAATTACATCAGAATAAAATACATACAGTAGCAAAATAAAATAAATAAAGCAAATTAACACAATATAAAATAAATAAAGCAAATTAACACAATACAAATTGAACAGGATGAAGGTATAGAAACAAGACGACTTTCGAAGCCTGGAAAATCATCTCAAAAGTGGGGAGTCGTCTTGTACCCCGGCATAATTTTTTTTGATCATTTTTCCCTCGTCTCCCTGCCCTTGGCATCCCCGCGTGGTGGAGACTGAGGAGGAGGGAGGGCGAAGGGAGGGAGGGGGCGAGGAGGAGGAGCGGCAGGCTTCGCTACCAAGCTGGCAGCATGGTAGCCTACTGGGCTGTCGTCATCCTCGCCGGCATTGAGTTGGCTCCGCCTCCGCCCTCTAATCCCAGAAAAGGTGCTGCAGGAGCCAAAGCCGGAGGGGTGGGGGCGGGGCCTCTGGCTACTCCGGCCCCACCCCCCGCGGAGGGTCCCGCCCCCGGTTCCCCCCCACTCCGGCTTCAACTCCTGCTGCTTTACCAGGCCGGCGGGGGGTGTTTGCATGCTGTGCTGTCCCCTCCGCCACTGGTCTGCTGCTAGCTCCGCCTCTGGCCTCAAAGCCAGAGCAACTGCCGAGGGAAAAAAACCCAGAGCAGGGAGGCAGTGGGAGAAGAGGACCCCGCCCCTCGCGGCCCCGCCCACGCTCCGGTTTTGGTTCCCTCGGCAATTGCTCTGAACTTTGAGGCCAGAGGCAGAGCTAGCAGCAGACCAGTGGCGGAGGGGACAGCACAGCATAGCATGCAAACACCCCCGCAGGCCTGGTAAAGCAGCAGGAGTTGAAGACGGAGCGGGGGGGGCGGAACCGGGGGGCGGGGCCCTCTGCGGGGGCGGGGCGGAGCAGGCAGAGGCCCCGCCCCTCTGGCTTTGGCTCCCTCCTGCAGCAGCTGTTCTGAGATGGAGGCCGGAGGCGGACCCAACTCAATGCCTGCGACGGTGAAGACAGCCCAGTAGGCTACCATGCTGCCAGATTGGTAGCAAAGGCTGCCGCTCCTCCTCTTGCCCCCTCCCTCCCTGCGCCGTCCCTATGACTTCCTCTCACATATTTACACAGGGTCTCATCATGTATCCTCTCAGCCTTCTCTTCTTCAAGCTAAACATGCCCAGCTCTTTAAGCCACTCCTCATAGGGCTTGATCTCCAGACCCTTGACCTGCTCTCTCCTCCCTATGACTTCTTCTCACATATTTATACATGGCTCTCATCATGTCTCCTCTCAGCCTTCTCTTCTTCAGGCTAAACATGCCCAGCTCTTTAAGCCGCTCCTCATAGGGCTTGTTCTCCAGACCCTTGATCATTTTAGTCACCCTCCTCTGGACACATTCCAGCTTGTCAACATCTCCCTTCAGTTGTGGTGCCCAGAATTGGACACAATATTCCAGGTGTGGTCTGACCAAGGCAGAATAGAGGGGTAGCATGACTTCCCTGGATCTAGACACTATGCTCCTATTGATGCAGGCCAAAATCCTATTGGTTTTTTGTTTTCGTTTTTTTGCCACCGCATGACATTGTTGGCTCATGTTTAACTTGTTGTCCACAAGGACCCCAAGATCTTTTTCACACATACCACTCTCAAGCCACGCGTCCCCTGTGAAGATCCCTTACCTTGCCAGCCGGGGTGGCAGGGCCTGGGAGAGGCAGGCTAGATAGTTAAGAGCTTAGAAGGCCTGGCAGAGGGCAGCAGGAGCCATCTTAGTTTAGGGAAAAGCTCCAGTTCAGAGAGGGGGAGTGGCCTAGGCCTGAGCCGGCCCTGAAACAGCCAGGATTAGTTTGTAAAAGGGGGGCGGAGTTAGACTGTTGGAGGGAAAGTAAGAAGCTTCTTTTATTCAGGTCAGTTCAGTTCTGGTTGATGTTAGAGCAGGATTAGAGAAGCTCGTAGGAGTTCCTGATTAGACTAGGCAGTTTGCCTGAAGTTTGCACAGCGAAGTAGGCTGTGGCAAACTGGGTTACAGCTATTTTAGAGAAGAAATAGCTGGGTTTTTGTAATAGGAACTGTAACAAGAAGAACCATTCTCTCATGCAACCGTTACGCTTTTAAGAACAAGATCATTTTTAACTGTAACAGCCAAGCCTTTCAAACTGCATTCACGTCATTTCTGTAACTTCTATTCAATAAACCTTTCTTGTTATTTTTGAAACTTAAGCCTGAGTCATGTGCCATTTGTGGATTTAGTCCCTTTTCTTTTTAATTCAACCTCATCTGTTTTCCTACAAAGAAGCCCTTTTAAAAGACAGTGTTTGGTGGTCCTAGAAGTAATTTTAACATCTTTAAATAGCTAGAGGGTTCCTGTTCATTTATACTTATGGTGGCAGCGAAGGTTTTTAAATAAAGAGACATCCCCTCAAGCGTTGTGTGGGTGCCAGTGAAGTCTTTATAAAGTGGTATAAACTCTTTATCAAAGGAAGGACAGTTTGTGGGATCTGTTTGCCCCGTCCAGTCATATTGTTTGGCCATAAAGCCTGCCTTTATAATTGGGGTCAGATGGTGGGATTGATCGTATTGCCATCTGCCTAGTTATTATAATTGGTGGGGCAGCGGTAGGTTTGTTTGCCCCCTGCCCAGACGGCCATACAGGAGGTTATTATATCCCCCATCCTGTATCTTTGCATTTCATTTTTGACAGAAGTCAAACTGGAAAGCTCTTATTGACCCAGGGCCCTCCTTCCTCTTTTCTGATCTCTTTTCCCCTTCTAACAATTAAACATCACCTGGCTATGTCCTTGAGAAAGTCTAAAACAATTCAAGCTGT